GATTACCTTACAATGACCTAGATGTCAATGATAAGTTGTTAGCAATCAATCGTGTTGGAGAGATTTTATTTGAGGTAATTAGTATTGGCAATCTGATACAACCTATTTGATAGCAATGTCTATGTCTGTAAAATGGGTCAAGTTGTCACGTTTACTGACTAATTTCAAGATATTCGATTCTAAATATACTTCCAACGCTTATTTAACACTTCAGTATTGATTCATACACGGGATAATATATGTGTTATCATGTCCACAACTTATTATAGGAGATTCCAAACTTTTCTATGTTTATTCTCTCTTATTAATTTCATTACATCTGGGTGAACATAAATAAACCCCCAAACAAATAAATTCGCGATTGCATTCAAATGATATCAAATTACTTATTGTTATTTATTGGTGCTTGGTGGTATGGCTTGTGGTTCTGTTGTTGTATACTTTGATCTCATTTCGGAGCGTGACATTACTTATTTGAAGGGAGTCGCCGAGAAACAGTAGATGATCATCAATCTGATCTTATTCTTCTTGTAATTTATCAGAAGTCTCAGTGAAAAATTTCAATTTCTTAAAATTTGTAGTTTTTCATCAAATTTGATTTTGAATGGAGACGCTGTTGTCATATCAATGATTCTGATGATTATATCACAATATTTAAAGTCTCTGCTAACTCATCAAAACATCAGGCAGGAATGATCAGGTTTAAAATTACATAGAGACTGAAAGTGTGGGATTTTCCTTCATATTTTCTCTTCCTCTTTATGGTTGGTGTGAAGGATGAATGATTTTCGTCTTCGCAACAGTAAGAGCCGGCTACAGGTATTACTAGTGTCTGAAGGAACACCGATTTCACGATTCTTTGGTGACAGATCTGATTTGTTCCTGCAAATACCCTGTTCATATATGGCAAAAAGGATGAAACTGCAACATTTTAACTTCTGTCCTACCATATCTTCGAGTCGAGTCCTCCAACATCCACCAGTCATAGATAACATAGAATACCTCCCCTCTACAGTGAAGAGTGGGGCATACTTAGTCGCGTCTGAGAACACGCTACTAGAGAGACTCGCATAATTGTCTTTTCATATTCCTCTTAGACCACATTTTGAATGACTGGGAAAAACTTTGTATTATGTTTTATTGAAAAGGATTCTGTGTTTGTGTAAAAGCTCGCTTGACCTTCAGATCGAGAGTCTCACAAGGTCATAAACTCGCCAATTTATAAGACGAAGTAATCAAGTCAACATCGACACGACAAATTTTGCAACGTTGCCTCATTTTTGAGGGCAAAACAGATATTGTCAAAATCGATACGGAATGACTAAAGTACTAGCCGTCAGCATATCCTCATACTGGACCTTATATAATTAAATCATGCCCAAATTTCTGGGGCATTGTCTTTTAATCTTAGTCTTGGCTAACGTTCAACATCGGAAATCAGGTGACATAGCTCGTGCTGGAATTGGCATTATACAAAGCACGATGAAGTAGAAAATAAAGTTAATAATACAACAATGTTGCATTCTGTTCGATAAACTCATTCTTATTACTTTCTCTCCAACGGAAAGGCACAATAGATGATCTTTGTATAATCCGTACAATTCTAATTGAGTTGAATAATTAGATTTCTTTTTAACGGTTTTTAATTTGCCAATCGCGTGAATAAATGCAGACCAAATCGCATTCGTACAGCTACACTCTGTTCCGGGGTTAATGAAACATATGGGTCACGCAAAATGAGTTTTCGTTACATTTATCAATTCCAATTAAATGCATTTTTTCAAACCTTATGCTGTTCCACAATTTTTTTTTCTAGGTGTATGTGAACTTAATGTAAAATTAATCAATTAATCATTAAAAGAACGTTAAGCTGAAGATTATCATGACCTACAAAGATCCAGTTTATCAGGAAGCATTGCTCTTATATCTTTGTAACTTTCTTTTATTGACATTAAATTTAAGTTTGAATTTAAAGCCACCATATGAGATTATGATTAGCAGATAACAAAGTGTTAGGAAGACACCAACAATTTCTAACTGTTTTTCAAAGTGTGTCAGAAACAAGCTACCGGAGCTTTCAACCATCCGGTCCGTTAAACTTTGAAACGTGCGAAGTGATTCATGTGAAGGAACTTTAACCAATCTATCGCACGTAAATTTATTTGTTGACCTAATTTGGGAGAGATATATATATTAAGTGGATGAATAAACACTGGATATAATCTGATTATCAACGACCATCGTTAAAATTATCACGTACAAAAATCATGGCATCCAGATGAAAATTGCATGTCATAACCATCTACAAGTCAAAGGCAGATGTACCTAATGAAGTAACCTATAACAAAATGCCGCTTAATAACAAAGTTCACGGTCGTAATGAGATTGCACTGCTGTGATCTAGCAATTATCTATTCCTGGAGAAGACCTATCATCCATAAGCATCTTCATGTTGTCCGTATTAGCTATTGCCGAGGCCAAATGATTGAAAAGCAGACAT